CCTCCTGGGCTGTGGTCGCGGGGAGGACGAGCCTGCTCCTCGCTCCCCTCTGCCCCTGTGACAAGGGCCCGTGGAGCGCCCAGGGAGGAGGAGGAGGAGGATGACGATGAGGAGGAGGAGGAGGAGGAGAGGTTGGGGGTGGAGGCGTTGAGGCTGCAGCTCACGATGCTCTGCAGCCTGCAGTGGGGGTTCCTGTAGGGCTGCAGGCACATGGAGGGGATGTAGCCGGTCCGGCCATTGTACCTGAGAGGAGGAAGGAAAGCGGCGCTGAGCCGGGCTCCTCTCCCACCCTCTGCTCCAGGGCAGGGAGACGGGGACAAGGATCCCCCCTGCTGCAGCAAGAGGGACAGAGTGTCACAGGTAACTGCACCCGGCGCGGGGAGGAACGAGCAGGAGCTTTGGGACAGCCGCTTACCGGCTCAGCCACCAGCCGTCCTGGGACTTCCTCACCACCTCCACGATGACGCCGTTGTGCAGCGAGAGCTCGTCCGCCTCCTGGGACTCGTAGGCTCGCGCAGCGAAGTACAGGCAGCCTGGGGAGGAAGGGGGAGAGGTTTCTGCCTCGTGGAGAGGAAGGCCAAACCTGGCAAAGTGGGGAGGAAACTAGAGCAGAGGGATGAGAGCAGCCGGGCACAGCCCGAGGTGCAGGGAGATGCGTGGAGACACGAGCGTGGCGGGTGGACGGGCCTCGTGCTGGCCCTTGTGGCCATGGCTCCGTCCCCAGTACCGAGGCGGGGAGCAGAGCATCTCCCAAAGGACCCAGTTAAGACAGGAGAAACCCAGGGCTTAACAGTTACATAAATCACTATTAAAAGATGCCTCATCCCTGAGAAAAATCAGATCAGCAGCCGCAAGGTGCAGGAGAGAGCTGCCCTGTAGCACTGTCCCAGGGAGCGAGTTCTCTGCTCTGCCACCCGCAGCTGGTGGCAGAGGTGGCTGAAACGCTCACAGCTCTAGAAAGGCAGAGGCTTCAGCCAGCGGGCAAAGCGTTTGGGTCTGTGTGTGTGTGTTTGGAGAACTGCTTAAAAATGAAAAGAGAAGGGAGTGAAGGAGCAGGGGGTAGGTCTGAACCCGGAGCAGCAAGGGAAGGTTTGACCAGGCTCACCCTCCTCGTGGGCGCTCGGGGCGCTCTGGCTGTCCCCGTGGAGGTCGAGCTCCTGCAGGTACGGGGCAGGGAACCAGGCGATCTGCTTGTCCGCGTTTTCCACCAGCCACCACCCTGCGGCAAAGGGAAGTCTGTAAGAACCTGGGAGAGGCAACGAGTATCCCGGGAGCCGTGGCCGTAAACCCCGCATGGGGGCTGCCCCACAACAGAGGTTCTGCAGAGCGGGCGAGCAGCTGGCACGGGCCAGGGCAGAGCCCCACCAAGCCCTGTGTTTTCCACCATGCCAGGACATGGGGGACAGCAAAATGGGGGCAGCTTTCAGCTTGGGCTGGAATAAAGCCCCAAGTCTCAGCTCAGGCTTCTGCCTCTGGTGACTTGGAAGGCCCCAGCACTTGTTCCTTCTTCCTGCATGAAGCCAGCTACGTGCATCACAAGCACAAACACACACCCAAGCTGGTGCTGCTACACGTTATGCTATAAATACAGTATTTGCCGAGCTATGAATCAACCTAGAAATCCTACAGCATCTGTCCTTGACACTGAAACCCAGCAATTCCAGTCAAACGTACCAGTCATGTCCTTGATGAGCACCTCAACAATTTCCTTCTTAGCCACTTTGAAGGTCTTGTTTTTTGTGTCTTTGGTTTCAAAGGCTTCGATGCACCTGTAGCTCTGAGATGCCTGCGGGTGCGTGATGGAGGGGACGTGCTGCTGCTGCCGCTCTTTTTTCCTTTCCCCTCCAATTTCTGACGGCATGATCACAACACTGGAAAATCAAGTTTAACATCGATTTACTGAAAAGCCACAGGGGTTGGTTAGTTATTCTGGAGAATCCCTAATTACTTCAGTGCTAAAAAAGAGCAAATACTCCCAAAAGGAAAAAAAAAATTTGAAAAGAGACAGAGCCAGCCTGCTCTTCCCCACCTCTCCTGTGTAACTGATATTTCTTTTCTACCCACCTATGGAATGGACACGTTGCAGAATAGCAATATACAAGCAAGAAATCCACGTGTGCCCACCTGTTTTCAGGAAAGGAAGGATCTAGGTCTTGGGTTTGTGCCTTGAAAAACTGAATGAGGCTTTCGCTCTGGGAGATCTTAGCATCCATTCGCAGCAGCTCCTGGGAGTACGCTTCCAGCAGTTTCAACCTCTCCAAGGACTTGTTCAACTTCCCGCTCTTTCTCTGCTTCACGTTTGCATCTTCAAAATGAGAGAGGTAAAGTGGGTGCGAGAGAAGGGACGGGGACATGTTCAGAGCGGGACCATCTGCCTGCATGCAGCAATGAACCCCGCAGAGCCCGAACCACGGAGCCAAGGCAGCCCCTGCCCCTGTTTGTGCCCTCTGAGCACTTTCAGCAGCTCCTGATACAACTTGTGAATATCTGCACTTTATTCTTGTTCACAAGTTCCAAGGTGACTTGGTGACCAAGGCCGGTACCACCCGTCGGGACAACCCAAGTGGCTTTATCCCGTTGGCTGCTCTTTGATGCCCACGGAGGATTCGGCCTCCTCACCTTTAAACTTGGGAATGGTCCGGTCCGATCTCCTGAGGGAGCCGCTCTCGATGGGGAATTTTCTCTTCAGCTCCTTCTGAAAGTGAGACAGGGAATAATGGGGATTTGAAGCCCATTCACACGGCCGAGATCTTTCCCTCCCTCTCTAGAACATGCACATCATTTTCAGAGAGTTCCTCACTTACATGGAATCTCTTAAATTCCTCAAATGTCCGGTAGATCAGAATGTTGTTTCGATCTGACCAGGAGACAAACATCATGTAGTTCTGAAAAAAAAAACAAATAAAATAAATAAAATAGGAAAGAAATCTATTTTTAATCACCCTGGTCAATATCAGATGCTTTCAAGCGACGAGCATTTGGCTTCACTCTGGTTTCAGGCTGTCACATTTAAACGAAAATTTTAAACTAGATTTAATCAAAATATTTCCTCAGTCCTAGGCCTGCAGATGAGCAATCATTGCTGAAACAAGAAGAAATTTAAGAAATCGTCCACAGAAAGACAGCAGAATCCCCGACAATCATTTTCTTATGGTATTGGCCATTGAAAAACAACTCTAAAAGGCCTCTTGTCCTAGCTAATAATCCCCAATTCCAACACTGCAATGGAAATGAGGAATGTATCCCTCTAAGAGTAACTGAAGAGGCCCTGTATTTTCCCAATTTGTTAATAATAGTTAAGGGGAAAGAAGAGAGAAAACAGGTTAAGGCACCTTCTGCTTTTGGCACTGCATCACGCCCACGGCCTTCACCTCCACGGGGTACCGGCTGCCGCTCATCTTCCCGGCGCTCCGCTCGGGATGCGAGTCCTGCGGAGCAGCAGCTCCCAGCGGCTAAATAGCGGGAGCAGGAGGAAAGCCGAGGGCGTTCCCGGCAGCCGGGGAGAAATCGCCTCCCCGTTTCCTCCTCCGCCCAGCAATGCACGGGGAGAAATTCCACAATTTGGCAAAGCCTCCCGTGCCGTTTGCTCTGCTGCTTTCGGCACCGGCGGCGGAGGCCAGGGGGGAGCTCGGGGGGTTGGGAAGGGGCAGGTGCCCTTTGTTATCTGCTGCTCCGGGGAAAATTCCCAGCGGGACCTTCCCTATCCGCGTGGCTGCGGCTGGCCCGGAGCGCTCGGCCCGCGCGGCTGGATGCAGGACATGGAATTGAAGCGGCTCCTCCGGCAGGGCCTTTCCCAGAGCCGCTGCTGCCAGTTTGTAGTGACACCCAGACCCGAGTAACTGGGGCTCCCCATCCTGCATCCGCCTGGGTTTGACACGATTCCCGGGACGGCAGAAGCTTTTCTGTGGGAGACGGGAATGGAGAGAGGGATCTGCCGGAGCGGGGAGCAGCTGCAGGCCGAGGGAGGCGGCAGCCGGGGCCGCTCCGATCATCCCGCAGCCCCTTGGGCACCGCGGCCGTCGCGAACGGCCCGGCCGGGCGCTGTGCGCAGGTTGGAGCTGGCTCTGCCTCGCTGAGGCCAAACGGGCTCCGGAATGCCGGTCCTGCCCCTGGAATGGCCACCTTCCCCATGCCGGGTGCTGCCTGCGGGCACCCGCGTGTGCTCAGACCTCCTCCACGCTCCCTCCTCCTCCTCTTCCCAAGGGGGACGAAATGCAACCGGCACCATTGCCAGGACCCAAAGGGAAAACTCCAGCCCTTCCCTTTCACCCTCTCATCACACGCAGCTTCTTTAACCCCTTGGCAGCAGCTGTGGGGGACTATTCCCCTATGGAGAGAAAAGGAAGAGAAACAAAAACCCCGGAATTGCTGCGGGAAGCCAAGCGGCTGGCTAGAAAATGCTCGTGGGGGCTTGGCGGCCCCTCAGCCGAGCAGGGAGCTTCTCCAGCTCCTGCTGCTGCTTCTCCGGCTCCGGCTGCTGCTTCTCCAGCTCCTGCTGCTGCTTCTCCAGCCTCCCTGGAGGAAGTTGCCCGGGAGCAGCTCAGGCTCCTGCCAAGCGAGCGGGAAAACCCCTCGGCTTCCTCCCTGCCCCGGGGCGAATCCTCCCCCGGGGCCCGTCCTCAGGGGCTGCCCTGGGGCCTCCGGAGCGAGGCCGGGCTGCCCGGAGCGAGCGGGAGCCACCGCCCGGCAAAGCCCACGGAGCAAACGCAACGCGACGCCCTTGCAGGGGGAGGAAGGCTGCAAATAACCGCTCGGAACGGCAGACGTCAAAATTAAAATATTTGGGAAAATAAAATATTTGGGAAAATATTTGGGAAAAGCCGAAGTCTCTGGATGCGTACAAGGCCGCTGAAGTTCAGCCAGGACTTGGTACCACATCCATGAGAACTGCCAACGCCACTAAAAATGAAGACGGGGGAAGTAGCCATTGACCACTGTTTCTGACAACTGCTGGTTCCATAAGCCCTGCTGCATTTCCCATTTCTTGGTGAATTCAGGCAGAAATGCCCACTATAATGCGGAAGAAGAACATGGAGGAAAAACAAGCAAATGTTACAACAGAAAAGTGCAACTGCACCAAAACAGGCAAATGTTACAACAGGAAAGTGCAACTGCACAGAGATTAGTGTCATCTGAGGCTCAAGATCCGAGTCAGACGATTTGGAGAGCAAATGTCCTGGGAAGAGACTGGCTGGAGCCTGGGATCCCAGACCAAACATTACTAAGGGCAAAACCCCTAGGAATTCAACAGTCAGTTGTTAAGAAAGCCCGTGGTTTTGGTACGATCACTTGGAGCGCGGTTATCAGCCTGGCAAGCCCATTGCACCATCATCACCGGCATCGTGTGGTCAAGTTTGCCGGGAAAGGAAGAAAAGAGAAACTCCTCGTTTAAGGGATTCACCTGGTGAGTCGCATCACGTTAATCCAAAGTGACCAAATCCGAGGAGCCCAGGGAAGGGCCGGGCCAGGTGGCCTTGGAACAACACAGACAACACCAGTGCTCCTCAATGACGTGGCTCGGTGACGCCAAAGCCACCACATCCATGTCGCTTCTGCTGGGAAAGGCTGGGAGAAGAGGCTGCCAATCCCACGTATTTGCCGAGCGCATCCGCACACACGTGCACAGGCCCCTGTGCCCCGCACGCACAAGCAGCTTTACTGATAGAAAATCCAGTTGTTTTGTTTCCTCTTTACTTCCGCATCATCCCACCATAAATGGGTACATCCCTATGGGTAATAATTAACCTAAGGTTAGGAAAGGTCTGCCCGGAAGAAGTAAAATCCCAAGAAGTACTGCTGGGTGCCGTTATTTTATCAGTAGGACATATTTACACAGTTGTCAATGCCAGCGTTTGCTTTTTCCCTTTAGGTATTTTAAAGGAAATAAAAGAGATTGCAGCTTGATAAGTGATGTATAGGGGTTGATTGTCCAACAAGATAAAGAACAGAAATACAAGCTTTCCTGCATAGTAATTCCTGCCATTACCAGTTTGCAACCATTCCAGGAAACCCACACGTTCCTCTACCTTCCCCTGGCTCGGGAGGAACTGCTGCCAGCACAAAACAACCACTTTAGGTACCTTGACTGTTCTTTTAATCTCAGAAAGGGGCCAAGACCACAAACAAGGTCATGGCTGCATGGAGGAGAAAGAGTAAAACTGGAGTATCTGCCCCTGGGAAGCCACAGTCCAAAAAGATGGGAGGTGATGGTCAGGGGGGAAGAGCATCCCGTGGCGCATCCAGCCTTTGGGTCTGGCTTCTGTGGGTCGGGCATTCCTCATTCCTGGATAGCAGAGGAGCGATTGCCACGGGTCAGCCTTTCTCTTGTGAACCCACCAAAAGGATGACAAGAGCCAAAGCCCCCAAACTGCCCAGGAGATGCCCCGGGAGCAGCCTGGGTCCCCCCGCGGGTCCCCCCTGCAGCTCCGGCTGCCCCCGGCGCGCAGGATCAAACCCGTCCTTGGCTGCTCTTGAAGGTCACCCGTGATGACACCGGACCTATCAGCAACTTTAATGAAAAGGCCAGCTGCTAAAAGCTCGTCTTAAGACTACAAAGAGGTTTTAGACTCTCATTAAATGGATAAACAGGCCCCGATTTGGGGGAAAAAAAAAATCAGTCACTGCAGATTGATATACAAAAATATCCTTCACCTTATAAACGCGCTGAGCAGTTGAGCCTTCACGCAGGCTGGATGAGAGATTTTGCGGTAGCTAATCCAGAAGAATGTGTTTGATTTCCTCCTAATTCAGCAGCTGCTGCCTGAAACGAGGCATTTTTCAGCCGCCAGCTGAACCGTCCTCAGCAGAGCCCTGGGCACGAGGAGCCGCCGCCGCGTCCCGCGCGGCCGCAGCGCCGCGGGGAAGGGCTGCAGCCACCCGTGCTGCGGCGCGCGCCTGCTGCAGCGAGGTGCTGCATTAGCTGCTCACAGGTTTTCCCCATGAGAAAGAGTTAGGGCTCGAGCGTGAGCACTTCTGATAACAGGTAGTGTGTGTGTAATAGTGGGGATGTGCTTTACTATACCTGAAAGCAGAGTTTCCCTTCGGATCACAGTGAATTTTTGCAGCTTATAATAGTTTCCTCCTGCTAAAAATACACGCGGACTGAGTTTGTCTATTCTCCACCAGCATTTAAAGAGCTTAACTTAGCAAATATCATTTTCTGGAAGAAAGAGTAAGTAATTTTGCTGCCACGTGAGCTGTGTGAGATGCAGTCCCAGCCAGCGAGGAGTCCTGAGCAGGGCTCAGAAAGGTCTCGTGCAGCTCCTGAGGGCCTCGGTCGATCATTCCATCATGAGTCCCATTTATTGTCCCTGTCACTGGAGAGGGGGGCAAGGACATGGGGGGGGTCTCACCCCCTTCCAGGTTGCTCATAGCATGTCCTGGGATGGACAGGTTGTATAAAATCAGAGCCGCATCCCTCAAAAACAAACCCAATCCAAGCCACCCTCCCCTGGGGAAAGGATAGGGGAAAGCAAACACGGAGGCGAGTCGCTCCGTCCCTGGCAAGGGATTCATCCCGTTGAACTCAGGCCTCGGCGGTGCAGGTGCCTCTGCCCCAGTCACCCCGGGCTTCCTAGAGCAGCAATCGAAACCTCACGGGAGGCGACCGAATCGGCGTGTGATTCGTGTGTCCAAAGTGCCCTCTCCTTCCCAGCCTGTGAGCACGGAGCACCGCGCGGCTCCCGGCCTCTTCCAAACGCAACGTGGGGAACATCTCCCTGTCCCCTGCTTGGAGGCTCCGGATGGGGACGTTGCAGGGAAAGCCCCGCACAGGAGGGTCCAGGAGATGCCACCCTCCTCTTCCCCAGGGATGCGGCCACCAAACCCTGTGGAGCAGTAGCCCGGGACGGGCGCTCTGCAGCCAGCGGCTGTAAAACAC